CCCCGGCCCTAGGGAGCGTCACTGGAGGGGGGGCAGTTGTACATCACAAGGCAAGTCCGACGCAGGGGGAGGAAGGAAGGAGAAGGCCGCCCATGAACAAGATGGTACTTGCTTCAGGACACAGGGATGTCCTCATTTGTGTCCCCCCAGAAGGCCACCTCGGAGACAAAGAATGTGAGGGCTCCTGGGTTTATTTTGAGACGTGACCCAAGAAGCACCTGTAGGGACAGGGAAGGAAGGCAGGGAAAGGGCATGCAGTTGGTAAAAGGCGACATTGTGGGCAGCTGGGTTCAGCCCTGCTGGGGGCCCAAAAGACCCGGTGCAGGACACACAGCTGCTTCTCCACTCAAGGGCCCAGGAAGCTGCAGTATTGGCCCCCACACCTCCCATCAGCCCACTTGCGTGCTGTTCCCTGGATGCCTGTGGCTGAGAGGCCACAGCCAGCCCTTGGTCACAGGCACAGCGAGCACAGAAATGACAAAGGCCACCGGGACACGAGCCGGGGACCAAGAGCCACGGCCTCCCTGGTTAGCGACCAGCCCGGTGCAGCCCGAGGGTCCTGTGAACCAGGAGGAAAGCCATCAGATGCACTTGTTCTGACACACATAGGATGTCTCTTCTGGGGACACAGGAAGCAGTGACAGTCGCTGTGGAGTGGGAGGAACTTGTTGGCTGGGAGAAAGAGGTGGGAGGAGACTTTTCATGGTCTACCCGTCTGTGCTTTCCGAATTTTGAACCCATGTGGCTTATATCACCTTTTTCAGGGGAAATGTTTAAAATTTAGACCTTTATTTAAACAGTAGAAAATTAAATGTATTTCTTTTCTTGTGCACAGAGAGATGCAGGAGAGAGAGAGAGAGAGAGAGAGAGAGAGAGAGAGAGAGAGAGAGAGAGATTCAGTTGCTAACGATGATATTCAAGTCTTTAATAGACTTACAGCCAAATGGGGAGGGAGGGGGGGCAGATGTGTGGGCGATTGGAAAGAGCAGATGATTCAAACTGGTTTGTGATGGATACGACCAGATGCGCTGGGCTCGCGACCCACGCGCTCCCTGTGCCTGCGGGGCTGACGGGAGCCTGGATTTGCCATCCGCCAGCGCGGACCCACGGCCGAGGGGAGGGACCGTGAAGGAAGCAGAAGGGAAGCCCCCACCCCCTGGCTCTGTCCCCGAGAAACCTCACCAGATGGGGCACCTTGCTGTTCTGTGTGTTCATGGCTTCCCGTTTCACCTTCGAGGCTCCAGAAGAATCCCTGGAATACAACTTTGTGACCCTGAAGAAGGATTACAGGGGTTACAACGAGCCAGATGACTTTTCCATGGAATGGAACTTGGTCATGGAGAAGGTGAGAGTCACATCTTTTTTTTAATGTGATAAAATATCTCTCTATATAAAAGCCTAAGCTACCGTTAAGACTGGTCAACCGAATGACTGGTCGCTATGACGATGCACTGACCACTAAGGGGCAGATGCTCAACGCAGGAGCTGCCCCCTGGTGGTCAGCATGCTCCCACAGCCAACCTCCCTCAGCTGGGCCAATCTCCCGAGGTCCCTCCTCCTCCTGGCTGGCCCAATTGGCCCCATCAGCCTCGATCGCCAGCCAGGCCAAGTGTCCCCCCACCCCCCCATGCACAAATTCGTGCCCCCATGCACAAATTCGTGCACTGGGCCTCTAGTACATAACATAAAACTTACCATCTTAACCATCTTTAAGTGGCACTAAGCACACTCACACTGTTGTGCAGCCATCACCACCATCCAGCTCCAGAACTTTCTCACCTTCCCAAACTGAAACTCTGTCCCCATTAAACACTCACTTCCCATTCTCCCCTTCCCCATCCCGGGCACCCACCATCTACTTTCTGTCTCTATGAATCTGACTCCTCATATAAGCGGAATCACACATGTTGTAGCAAGGGCCAGAATTTCCTTCCTTTTTAAGGCTGAAGAAGATTTCGTTGTATGGATACAGCACATTTTGTTTACCCATCATCCATCGGTGGACACTTGAGTTGTTCCCACCTTTGGGGTGTTGTGAAAAATGCCGATATGAACGTGGGTGTGCAGATCCTTCTTGGGTGTTTGAAAACCTCTTTCAATTATTTTTTAAAATATATTTTTATTTATTTTCCTCCTCAAAAGCTAGTGCTGTAGCCTGGCCGGCATGGCTCAGCGGTTAGGCATCAACCTATGAACTAGGTACAGTGGTGGGCAAACTGCAGCTCGTGAGCCACATGCGGCTCTTTGGCTCCTCGAGTGTGGCTCTTCCACAAAATACCACATGCGGGCGCGCACGTACAGGGCAATTGAAACTTTGTGGCCCATGCGCAGAAGTCGGTTTTCGGCCTGGGCGAGTCTATTTTGAAGAAGTACTGTTGATATTTGGTTCTGTTGACTAATGAGTTTGCCGACCACTGAGATAGACGAAACAAGTATACAAGACGAGTGTGGATGGGAGAGTTAGAAGTGGTCAACCTCAGCGAACGTACCTCAATCAGATTGAGGACGTTAGCAAAGGCCAGCTTAGGAGTACCCTGATTAAGTTAATAACAATGTACCTACCTATACAGTTTAAGTTTAAAAAATGTGGCTCTCAAAGGAAATTTCAGTCGTTGTACTGTTGATATTTGGCTCTGTTGACTAATGAGTTTGCCGACCACTGAACTAGGAAATCATGGTTTGATTCCGCCAGGCACATGCCCGGTTTGCAACCTGGATCCCCAGTAGGGGGCGTGCAGGAGGCAGCCAATCAATGTTTCTCATCATTGATATTTCTCTCTCTCTCCTTCCTTCCTCTCTGAAATCAATAAAAAAAAAAGGAAAGAAAAACAGAAAAACTGTATTTAATTTTTTTTTTTAAAGGGAACAGCCTATCTAAAGGCCCCAAGGCTGGCACTTGCCAAGTGTGTTTGAGAAACATCAAGGAGACAGCGAGGCTAAAGCTGAGAAAGGGAAAGGGAGAGTGGGCAGAGGTGAGGGCCTGGAGGGGACAGGGCAGAGATGAGGGCCTGGAGGGGACAGGGCAGAGATGAGGGCCTGGAGGGGACAGGGCAGAGGTGAGGGCCTGGAGGGGACAGGGCAGAGATGAGGGCCTGGAGGGGACAGGGCAGAGGTGAGGGCCTGGAGGGGACAGGGCAGAGGTGAGGGCCTGGAGAGGACAGGGCAGAGGTGAGGGCCAGGAGGGGACAGGGCAGAGGTGAGGGCCAGGAGGGGACAGGGCAGAGGTGAGGGCCAGGAGGGGACAGGGCAGAGGTGAGGGCCTGGAGGGGACAGGGCAGAGGTGAGGGCCTGGAGGGGACAGGGCAGAGGTGAGGGCCTGGAGGGGACAGGGCAGAGATGAGGGCCTGGAGGGGACAGGGCAGAGGTGAGGGCCTGGAGGGGACAGGGCAGAGGTGAGGGCCAGGAGGGGACAGGGCAGAGGTGAGGGCCTGGAGGGGACAGGGCAGAGGTGAGGGCCTGGAGGGGACAGGGCAGAGATGAGGGCCAGGAGGGGACAGGGCAGGTCTTGCAGGGCCTTGCGGGCCATGATGAGGAGTTCAGCTTTTACCCCCAGGAAGATGAGAACCATGAACGCTCTGAGCCGTGATGGGGTGGGGGGTAAGGGAGGCACTAGCCCAGGCCCTGGAACACTGTGACTGCTGTCTACATAGCAGCCATGGTGACTGTGACTTCTATTGTGTTTGTTATTTTAATATGTGGAAGGAAGTCTTCAAGTGTTTATTCTCCTCTCTGCAGCTGAAGTGCTGCGGGGTGAAGAGCTACACAGATTTTTCTGGTTCCTCCTTTGCGAAGACGACTGGCTACTCCTACCCCAGGAGCTGCTGCAAATCCATCGGGACTGCGGCCTGTACCGGGCACAACGCGTCCTCCGACATCATCCACCAGGAGGTAACTCCCGATTTTGTTGGCCACCACCATGGGAGACCCCGAGGGCTGGGGACTTTCATAAAAATTGCACATTTGCCCTGGCTGGTGTGACTCGGTTGGAACGTCGTCCTGTACCCAAAAGGTGGTCCGGTCAAGGCACGTTCCCGGGTTGCAGGTTTGATTCCCGGTGATTGGTGTTTCTCTCTCGGGTTGATGTTTCTCTCTCTGTCTCTCTCTGTCTCTCTATCTCTCTGCATGCCCCCTACCCAGGATCGAGCCCACAACCTGGACATGTGCCCTGACTGGGAATTGAAGCAGCAACCTTTTGGTGCCAGGATGATGCCCAATGAACTGAGCCACACTGGCCAGGGCTGGGCATTCACTTTAACTCAATCCCCATCGCATCCCTCCAGGCTCTTCTCCCATTTTACAGATGAGGAAACTGAGGCACAGAGAGCTTCCCATGGCCAGGGAGTGGTTGGCCTGGGCTTTAAACCCCACGGCCCAGCTTCCTCTTGACTTCTGTCATGAGTAAATGAACACAGATCTTCTCCGCGGGAAGAAACAGGAATCATTCATTAATTCATGCATCACCCTGAATGGCTCCTGCTGGGAGCCGGACCCTGGGACTCAGAGATGAACACACTGGCCCCTTGGGCCCTGCACAACCACTTCTCCTCCGACTCACACCCTCACTCATCCTGCGGCAGCCACACCAGCCTCCTCGATGCAGCACAAACACATCAGGCGCCTGCCAGCCTCAGGGGCTTTGCCAAGGCTGCTCCTTCTGCCTGGAATTCTCTTCCCCTAAATGTCTTCCTACCTCACTTCCTTCTAGTCTGTGCTCCATTGTCACTTCTTGGTGAGATATTCCCGACCCCTTCTCTATGATAGGATCTCCCCCCAAATCACCATTACACTTCATCTCCTTACTCTGCTTCAGTGTCTGTCCGGTGCTTAACCAGTACCTACTACCTGCTTTCCCCACGCAAATGTCGGCCCCACCAAGGCGAGAATTTTGTCTGTTTTCACATTGCTGGGTTCCAGCGCCCACTGCCTCGCATACAATAGGCACTTAGTAAATATTAATTATGTGAAGGAGGCCACTGAACTGCCAACAGTGAGCGCTAGGCAGCCCCAGCTTCCAAACACAGGGAGTGCTGGGGGCCTAGAAGGTGAGGGCATCTCCGTGGCCGCAGCAAGGGGAGTGGAGTCTGCTCTGCTCACCCACTGTGTCCGGTCTCTTCACCCGTCTGAGCCTCAGCTTCTTCATTTATAAAACAGAGAGCCCAGCTGGCGTGACTCAGTGGCTGAGCGTCAACCTACGAACCAGGAGGTCACGGTTCGATTCCTGGTCAGGTCACATGCCCGGATTGTGGGCTTGATCCTCAGTGTGGGGCCTGCAGGAGGCAGCCGATCAAAGATTCTCTCTTACCGTGGATGTTTCTATCCCTCTCTCCCTCTCCCTTCCTCTCTGAAATCAATAAAAATATATTTGGGGGGAAAAAAAGAGAAAATAAATACCTACCTTATGGGGTTGTTGTAAGAAATGAGTGAGAAGGTGCTAGAAACACGTACGTCCTCTGTTCATATATAAAGAACACTCAGAAATAACGAATAGTTCCTGAACGCTGGCTCTGTGTCAGGCTGCTGCTAGGTACTTCCTGTAGATTCTTTCTCTTAATCCAGTGGTTCTCAACCTTCTGGCCCTTTAAATACAGTTCCTCATGTTGTGACCCAACCATAAAATTATTTTCGTTGCTACTTCATAACTGTAATGTTGCTACTGTTACGAATCGTAATGTAAATATCTGATATGCAGGATGGTCGTAGGCGACCCCTGTGAAAGGGTCGTTCGACCGCCAAAGGGCTCGCGACCCACAGGTTGAGAACCGCTGTCTTAATCCACTCGACAATCTTGTGAGGGGGACCCAGTTGGTCACATTTACAGTTGGGAAACTGAGGCACAGAAAGGGGGTCCCACAGTTAGTGGTGACTTGCACACGTGGACACTGGGGAGTGCTCTGGGGGTGTGTGTGGAAGAACGAGGAGGCTAGGGCAATGCTGGCATGTTGGGGGGCAGTCAAGTGAGAAGGAGCCAAGGTCCTGTCGCCCTGGCCCTTTATCCTGCCCGAATCTGAGGGCAGTTGGAATGGCCCCAAAGGGGTGGGTGGTGACAGGGCCTGGGAGTCTCCGAGCCCCTAACCAGGTCCCACCGGCTTTGATATCTGTACCTGCAGGGCTGCTTCCCCAAGCTCCTGAAAATATCCACGACTCAGAGCGTCAACCTGAGTGTAGGCTCGCTGGGGGCAGCGGTGATGCAGGTAAGCCTGGCTCCTCCGGGACGCACTACACTCTTTTATTGAGCACCTACTGTGTACTCAATACCAAGCACTGTCCGGGGCACTGAGGACACAACAGTGATGAAAAAAGACAAAAATCCCTGCCAGTGTGGCACTGACATTCAAGTGGGGGAGGCAGTAAAGCATGGTGATGGAATAAGGAAGATTAGGGAGGGACTGTCGGAGGAGGTGACAGCTGACCAGTGACCTGAGGAAAAGCCATGTGTGTATATGGGGGGAGGGCAGAGGGAACAGTTGGTGCAAAGGCCCTGAGGCTGGGATAAGCTTGGCTTATTCAAGGACCAGCAGGGAGGCCCCTGTGGCGGAGCAGGATGGACAAGAAGGGTGAGATGAGGGCAGGCTGATGCGGGCAAGGTAATAGAAGGCCTTGTGGGATACAGAGAGGGGTTGGCTTTATTCTGAGAATAACAGAAAGGCAGTAGAAAGGTGTTTGTTTGTTGTTGTTTTTTAAAGAAATGCTTATTTTATATTTTTATTGAGTTTATTTATTTCAGACAGGAAGGGAGAGGGAGAGAGAGAGAGAAACATCAATGATGAGAGAGAATCATTGATCAGCTGCCTCCTGCATGCCCCAAACTGGGGATAGAGCCCGAAACCTGGGCATATGCTCTGACTGGGAATCGAACCCATGACCTCCAGATTCATAGGTCGACACTCAACCACTGAGCCACACCGGCCGGGCAGTAGAAAGGTTTTTCACATCTTTAAAAAATATTTTTATTGAGTTTATTTATTTCAGACAGGAAGGGAGAGGGAGAGAGAGAAACATCAATGATGAGAGAGAATCATTGATCAGCTGCCTCCTGCACGCCCACATTGGGGATAGAGCCCGAAACCTGGGCATATGCTCTGACTGGGAATCGAACCCGTGACTCCAGATTCATAGGTCGACGCTCAACCACTGAGCCACGCCGGCCGGGCAGTAGAAAGGTTTTTCACATCTTTTTTTCTCCACGAACTTTATTGAGCACCTACTAGGTCCAGTCAATATTGTAGACACTAAGGATACAATTTA